TTCCTTGAAATTTATTTCTGCCCTGTGATCTAAGAGCACTCGTGGCCGTGTGACGTAGTGGTTAAGTTGTCGAGACTATATGCTGCACTACCGTAACCAAAGTACGAGTCCCTCCAGGTGTGTGGGGTCGAAACTGCAGTCCACTCCAGTCTGGATGGGAATACCTTTTGGGAAGCAAGGCTATGGGACATTCAAAGGGAACATGAGGCCTACTCAATTCATCGTTGGAAAAGTCAACTGCTAGTCCTTTATCATCCAAACGAAATATGTGTAAATCAACTCTCATACGAGAGAGGTTTTACTTGGGCGTTTCACTTTCCGCCTCCGCTACTGACTCAATTAACAAATGGGAATGACACAAAAGGATTGATGGCTATCCTTTCCCACATCCTTTTGACAACAAATGATAGCGAACTGATACAAGTTAGATCTGCGTCGAACTCTTTGATCAGATGCCCCACCAGTTGCTGGTATTGTTCTCTTATCAGCAGAACGGCACAATCTTGCTGAGAATAGAGGATGTCCCCTGAGAAATTGGGATGGGCTGATTAAACACAGCTGTCCGCTCCTCTCGATCGTACAAATAAACATCAGACCAGACATGTTTCCTACGGCTGTTCCAACTGACTCCCATCTCTATGATGCTGTTTAGGGGCGAGACTTTAGCGCTGCACCAGTTCGAAACACTGAGAAGGATGACTCTAGACAGGACGGTACTTGTATTGTGTTTGTTTTGTCTTCCGTCCGAATGTGCACATGCTGCATGAGGCTCCCCAACTGGCCGTGGATTGGACTGCATTAACAAGATGCACGAGAGGGCGTTGAAGGCAAGATGCCCAAAAGGTTGAATACGGGAGTGTGGAGCAAATGTCCGGGGAGGGCGAAAATGGTGTCGAGGGGGCTTAACACTCTGACTTCCCACTCAAGCATACACGGCAGAAGCATTTCATATCTGTGCAGTTGGGGTAATCAGATAACGCTACTTTGACAATCGTGTACCGTGACGAGGCGAGTTTTACTATCTGATGCCAAAACTGTCCCTTATGCCGAGCCATACTTCTGCAAATGAGAAGTGGACAAACATGCTTCCAGGCCTATACAGAAATATACGTTCGGATGGGCTTCCGCATATTTGAACGCGAGCCTGGAGCGGTCTAAACTAGCGAAAGTTGGGCTTCAAGAGGTGCACAAGTTTCGACAGGTTAGGGCAAAAAACGACATCGCTGCATTTGTCTGGGTCAGAGGTGGACGTTGGCAAGTTTTATAGCAGTAGAGTGTCTGAAGAACGTTGGTTCCGCCCACTGGGCCCAATTCGGGGGCACCTCTTCATGTGAAGCCAGCTGGCTGAGTTAGTTGATCATGTGAAGACTAGGGCACTGAGCCTGTGGAGTTAGTCTGCTTCTGCCCCAGAGCCCCTGAAAGAGTCGAGACAAAACTAGAGGCTATTGGAATGATTAACATTTTGAAAAGAGGTCGGTGTATTTGCACTTGGACTTGCACTTTACCTGGTTTCAGTACATATGCCGAAGTGGACAAGGATAGGATTAAACAATGTCAAAACGACTGTGCATACACATGTGACCGATATTACATGTGTGCGTGCGTGTATATGCTTGGGTTGGCTTTGAACTAAGCGCGCAAGGAAATAATGTACTTGGTTATGCTTGCATAATGTGTGGGAAAAGCTAACAGAAATCACATCAAAGGAAGCTTGCATGAAATGCTTATTTTGAGTGGAAGATGAGAAGTATTGGGTTGCTGAATCAGTGGAAAGTATTCTGAGATTTAGACTGGCAAAAAATATATCCAAAGCTTATACGGATTTTATGGAGCACGAGAGAGACTGATATAAGACTAGGGAAGAGGACTGCATAATAATAATAAAGCAGACTCTGATCAACATTCCCT